ATCTGATGTCCATTCTTTCAAATAGATTTGGGGGAGTCCAAAACATTCTAAATACAAATTTTAAAGAATGAAGTTTAATCTCAAATCTGTTGATAACCCATTCCTAAAAAATGTAAAGCCACTGATTTTTTTATTTCTTGAATTTATGCCATCTCAATCAATGTGAAACCATCTTAAAAGCCCTGAATTTGCTGCACTTTTACAAGAAAAGTTCCCAAATAATTGAGACTTTAATATTTCTGTCTGTTCCCCAGGTTTTCTATGCCAGTTCTGTATCTTATTGCTGTGTATTTATGTATATTGTACTTAAAAGTATGTGGAAATTGCAGCTGTGTGAGCTAGATTGCTGACTGGCATAAGGGATTGGGCTCATATAATACATGGTACTGGATTGGTTGCCAATCAGTTACTGAGTGCAGTTTAAGGTGTTGGCACTTGAACATTAAATTGTTAAAAAGATAAGGTACTGACCATTAAGAGGACTTCTCTTCCTCCTATGAATCTGTCTGGCTGTTAAGATCAGCAGGAGAGCCCCTTCTAAAGATGCCTTGATGTCAGAGACCCAACTTTCTGGCATAGAAGAGATGCCCTTTTCCTGTGCTGTTTGGCCAGTATGTACAAACTCTATACAGATACATCCCTTTCATAGAACCCTAGAGCAGATGACCATTTAGATGACCATCCCATCAGATAGCGGTCTAATTTTCTCTTGAACTCATCCAATGAAAAGGAAGTCCTCTGTTTTTATTATTAGAAAGTCTCTAGATAGAAGCAAGGAATTAAAATGTTCTGTATCGTGTTCTTGTCATGTTTGATGGGCTATCTGTAGTTAGGCGGACTGTTTTCCACCCTTTTTGGAGCTTGGGACAATATTTATTTTCCTACAGTCATCTGGCACCTCACTAGTTCGGTCTCTCCAGGAGTTCTCAAAAAGAACCTGACCAACAACTAATTCCTTTGACAGCCATGGATGGAATTCATTTGGTGCTAAAGATTTAAACTTATTCAAAGGAAAGATGTATCTCTTGATTTTGCTTCCATGCATTTTCAATTTCTATTTTTTTTATCTCGCCATACACAATGTCCTAGTGGAGCACACAAGGTTTTTGTTGTTGTAGTAGAATGAAACAATGTATTGCTTGTGAGCATTTTGCTTTCTTTGCTGATATATTATTTTTCCTCCCCCCCCCCCAATTTTAACATTTAGCAAATTCTGGCATCATTTAAATGATTTGTTTTGTTTTTATCATCAAAATTATCAGATCGCTCTCTCTCTTGTATGCACACACACACAAACACACACGCACATACAAATCAACGCAACTACTTTTTCCTGGCACTTGAAAGCCATTAGTGTAAGACAGTGATGGCGAACCTTTTAGAGACCGAGTGTCCAAACTGCAACCCAAAACCCACTTATGCATTGTCGGGTGCCGGGTGGGCGTGGCCATTGGCTGGGTGTGGCCAATTGGGTGGGTGTGGCCTATTGGGTGGGCATGGCTGCGATGGTAATGGCAGACTAGGTGGGACTAAAAAGTTCAATCAATCAATTCCAGCTTTGCAAGATCTTTTTTTTCCCCACAAGAAGTTGAAATTGACTGATTGATTGAACCTTTTTTTTTTTTTTTGCACGCGGTGGCAGAGGCCTAAAGTGAAAAGGTTTTATAAAACCCAGCTGAAGGCCTAGGACTGGAGCGATGGCGCGCGTGCCCACAGAGAGGGCTCTGAGTGCTGCCTCTGGCACCCGTGCCATAGGTTCACCACCACTGGTGTAGGAACTAGTTATGTTTCCAGCAAGAAAGAGGAATGAGATGCCACTATAGAAAAGGTTCTATCTCCGATTGCCACCTACTTGATTTTTGAAAATAAAGATATCCACTGTTGAACCTCCAGTAATGATCAACTGCATTTTGCTGTAGGCTAAGGTCTTTTTATTTTCTCAAAGCTTTTTATCTAAGATACTTTATTTTGATGAGAACTTTATTCTGCTCTTTTAAGGTTTTGCATCCTGCTGTGTTTAGGCTTTAGAATTTTTATTTTGAAAGGTGCTTTTTATTGTATTTTTGATACCATAAAGCCACACAATAAATTTATTTAAAGGAGGCACAGGATTTCCTTTTTGAAATCCTGTGCCTGTGCCTTCTAGGGTAGCTAAACGTAAGGAGCAATAACTAGAATCATACTTGGGAGTCATTTGGAGTTAGTGTCATTTAGGATTGGTCAGGATTATGTTCATGCAAAAAATAATGTCATAAAGTCCTACTGGACCTGGGAGGGCTCCCTGGGAGACTGATTTAAGAATGATTGACCAATTAGAACATGATGGACACATATGTGTGCACACGTATCAATTCCCTATATGCTAAACCAGTTTTGAAGAGTTCTTGCCAATGGGATTTTAGTGCTATTCAAAACAGCTTCTTTTAAAATGACCTCCACAGTTACACACACCATTTATAGTAACCCGAAGTTACCTAAAAAGGGTAATACTTGTCTCTACAGTATGGGAAGGCCTTTTTCTTATTTATTTAGGAACTTTAATCTTAAATTATATTTTGGACCCTGTGAATTATACAACAGCATGTAGCATATCAGGCAGTGATTTTACTAATGGGATTTTTTTTAAAAAAAGTGATCAGAATTGTTTTAGAATAGTAAATGAAAACAATCAGTAATTGTATTAACATACTGATTTGTATTTAAATTATTTCAGTTGTTTAGAAGTACCTGAAGCTTAACATGCAGGGGGCTTATTTTTAAACTGTTTGGATTTAGTTTTTTGCAATTTAAATTCAATACTCCCCCCCCCATCCCAGCAAAGTAAGCGATTTATATTTATCCACTCATGAATTAAGGATTGGTATAAATTATCCCAGAATACTTACGTTGATTGACTAAACATTAGGATACCACCTGCAAAATAATAAGTGGCATCTCCTGCAGGGGACTGTGAACCTCTACTGTAGAAAACGGCAGTATGAAACAGAAATGTTTGTGACCTGAGGTCAAGTGGATCTCATAGCAATCTTCTTCCCAAGTAATTCCACTATTCCACTATTTGTTATTTCTGCAGCACAGAAACGGACCGGATAGTTTATAGATCTTACCTATCATACGATTAGTAACATCTTTCCTCCAAAGTTGCTCTGTGCTATCCGCTGTGGAAGGATAGCTGGATGCAACAAGTTGCCTTTTTATTATTATTATTGGGGGGGAAATTCATATCTGGAATTTTCATTGGCCTAGAATTGCTAGATACATGTAGTTATTTCAAGGACAAAGGAGAAAGCTATGCTGTAATTGCACCAATTCCTTTGGTCACTAGAATTGAGTTATAGTTTGCCCGTTTATTATTCCAAAATTTACAGAAGAATCTCCGAGGGAAATGGGCAGTTAAAAAATAAAATAAATAAATATATATATAAAATAAAATTCTATCAAGTTTGGTGGGGCTTAGTCTCAAAACACTGAACGAAGGACTGCCTCCTAAAAGTGCCTGAAAAAAACCCTGTCCAGCTGCACTTCAATAAACACTGAATAGAATGGAAAAGATACCCAAGCCAGCATATAAACCGATCAAATGTTTAGCAAAATATTATATTTTGAACGATAATATATGAAAGACTAAGGAAACTACTTTCTTCTTCCTCCTCTTGCTGGTATTAAGTTGCCTGCAGCCCTAAAGTCCTATTTTTTGGCCTGTTGGAGTGTCCTTCAACCACAAATATATAAACCAGCAGCATGTTTTCTCTCCATTTTGAGGTAATCTCTCCACCCCAGCCTGCCACGTCTCTCTTAAAAAAAAAAAAAAAAAGCAGGGGGAAAAAAAGTCCAGAAAATCCAAATTCCTCCATATCACATCATTCATGAATTCACTGCAATTCCCAGTTATGAAACCTGGGTCCACACCATTCTATTTCCTTTCTTATTGGATATTGAAGATTTTCCTTCTAAACTGTAATGATTTTGAGCTACTTTGAAATGGTTTGACCTCTAGACCTGGCATGGAATGAATCTTGCCACTGGACTGAATAACCACTCCAGTGGCTCTTGCTAGGATGAAGCAGCAGCCCCACTCATCCTTTTGGGGTCTTCTTGGCTGTTTTCCTAGACTGTCAGTGCTCTCTTGGTTTTTAATCAGTTGTCTTTCAGGACAACCACTCCTATGCAGTGTATAATTTTAAAATGTTTCAAAAATATACCACCAACACAATTACTTAAAGGAGATCAGTTGTGAAATAAAACAAGAGCCAGAAAGAAATTCATATAGAACCTTAACAAGGAAAAACAAATACGCTGTAGCCTGTCAAAACATGATAGTGGGTTATCAAGAGGACAGGGAGAAACAGATTTCTTCAGAGCGGGAACTCAACAGATATGGGTTTATCAATTTCTGTTCTTGGAAATCACCATAAATTACTCTTGCCTCAGGATTTCTCACATCACCATCTGTATTTTGCATTTCACAACCTGATTTGAAAATCTAATGATTAGTTTAGATTTCTGCTTTTGTCAATGGCTGATATACACTTTGTACAAAGCCATGATTTTCTCAATCATTGTTTGCTGCATAAACTTAACTCTCCCTCATCTACAAATCTACCTTCTTCCATTTTTACCTTCTGCACGAACTGCATGAAAGTTATCTCCTGGATTTCTACTTTTCTTTCCCATTTCCTTCACTCTTGCTCTCTCCCGCTGTTCTCTCTCCTTCTTTTGACATACATGGTATCTATTATTCCCTGCATGCTTTGTGTTCGATCTTCCACCTTCCTCTCTAGATCCCTTAGGAAATTTCTGGTTAACAGGTCTGTTTGGATTTAGTAGCTTGGCAAGCACTCCCCCCTCTCATTCAACCACTGCCTGTGTACACAACTGCACCTTAATATCTAATGAGCCCCATGTTGAGTGTGATTTCAAAGTCACAATATGGCTAAGGTCTTTTAGAGCTGGAGGTATATTTTGGTTGCAAGGACACAATTGATAGAGAATCCAAGAGAGACTTTTATGCTTTTTTATTATATACAATGAAACTTTTTACAATAGGTAATTTACAATACGTATTTACAACATCCCTATTTTTACCTAGTATCAGGTTTACTCCTAAATCTCTCCCCTCCAGAGACTATTTCCCTCTAACACTCCTACTAACTGCTTCACTTTCTCCCCCCCCCCCCAACTCCATTTCCCTCCCCCATTTCTGGGCTTATCAAGAGAGTGAAAAGAAAGGAATGTGCTGGAGTTGCAACCAGGGTGCTTAGCAAAGTTTGTCTCCTTTCTTGGATCTGTTCAGCTGTTACCATCTGTGTCTCTTTCAGGGGAGAAAGAGCCTCTCTCAGGGTCTTCTCAAAGATCAGGGCAGCCATTTCCCTCCTCATCTTGGGTTTTGGGTGAAAATATTGTTGTCTGGGATTTCACTTGTCTTCTTCCAGGGAACCATCCAGAGACTCATCTTCTTCCTTTCTGAAGAGGAAAATGACTATTATGCCATACAGTCATCAAACTTCCCACTCTCCACTTTTTAGTCGCACCAGAGGCACCTCCACTAGCAATTGAGGAGTCAGATGCCCCTCCAGCACTCCAATCCCCAAGGCTGGACCAATGGGATTGCTGTCTTTACATCTCTCCACAACAGCCCTGGCTAGCAGCCAGGTCAGTTGATCAGGCGGTGCAACAAAGTCAATTACAGTAGAATTGAACTTCTTCTCCCCTTCTCTCTCCATTTGCTGACTCATGCCAGTAGCCATGCTAGGCCACTAAAAACATTTGCCACATTGGCATATCCTGCTGAGGCATAAAATACATCTTTTAAATCATTAGACATTATCTCACAGGTTCTACTATGTCACAGTCAAACAAGCTATCGACAGAATATGTGAACCCGGAACACTTTATTGAAAGAATATACACTGGACATAATGTATATACATACAGAGCCAGTTTGGTGAAGTGGTTAAGGCAGGGATGTCAAACTGCCGGCCCACGGGCTGGATGCGTCATGCCGAATCTACGCCCACCCCAGCTCTGGCAATGGGGAAAAAGTCACGATACATCACAACATGTCACGTGACAATGTGAGTTTGACACCCCTGAGTTAAGGTACTGGCCTGAAATCAGGAGAATTTGAGTTCTAGTCCCATCTTAATTGTTAATACAATTAATCTGCGTGTCAGAAATAACTGCATATGTAAATAACTATGTGTAATATTATAAGCATGGTAGAAAAAAGGCAAATATTTAGCAATACTATAATCCAGGAGTACCTAACCCCTGGTCCATGGACTGATACTAGGCCACGGCATGCCAGCAACCGGGCCGCACAAACAAGCAAAGCCCCATCTGCAGGATGCAGGCAGCACACAAACCACGCCCCCTCCGGTCCGCAGAAAAACCTCTCCACGTTATCGATAACTGATGCCCAAAAGGTTGGTACCCTCTGCTATAATCCAGTTCAAAAGTATAATACCTCAGAAAATAATGCCCACAATTGTAGGAACTCAAATGATCATTCCAGTATTTATATCCCAATTTGGCTCACAGCTGCCAGCTGAAGAAAAGTAGAGTATCTTTGACTGTAATGCTACCAAAACACCAACAGTTTCAACTGGCTTTTGACTATTTTGAATACTGGAATTATCTAAGAACATTTGCAACTTTAATGTAGCTTCTATATCCTATCTGGTCCAAGTTTCTATTTCCAAAGAGATTAACATAGAATAAAAAGTTCAACAAAACATTCAAATAGAATATTGCAATAATTTAAAATTGAAACAATAAAAATAAATCAATGCCAATTTTCTTTTTACATTTCTAAATTCTTTAACATACTTTCTTGAAGATTGTCACATTGAAACCAGAACTTCATTTTAAGTAAAAACTGTGGATCCCAAAATTAAAATGGATTTTATTACTACATAAGCAAGATGACACTGCAGAACTTGGAAATCCATTCATCTTTTTAATTTCTCAGTTCTGTGTGCAGTGGAGGATCATCACCAGATTCTATTTCCAATGCACAGTTCATTCTCCCCCTTTGAAATCTTTGTACCCAACCTCAAAGATGTCTGGAAATACAATTTTTTATGAATTTCTGTGCTCACAACTAGAAGATCATAATGTTGCTAGCTTTTGGATTAGCTTGTATTATGAACTCAATCATCATAGTTAATAAACTTATTTTTGTGTTATATAAGCCTATTTGGGCTTATTCAATAAACCATGATTAAAACATACTATGCTTAGTGCTGGATATGACTTCTGTTTGGAGGTCAACACAAGGGAGGAGGGTTAAAAATGGCAATAGGACCTACTTACTAGGGAATGCCTAGGTATGTTTTCCCATATATATCCATAAGATTTTAAATAAAACAGTAGAGTAAATCTATCAATAGTATATCACTGAACCTCTATCTTGCCTGCACTTGATCTAGGAAAGAAATGCCCTAGAAATTATCAGTATGACTTTGCAAAAACCTCCTAAATGCATAATGGCATTACAGAATCAGTGCACTACATAAGGGGCCTATAATGTAGTAATTATATCTGAAAGACATACTTCAGAAACAAAGAATTCTAGCACAGATTTGCCTCAGCTTGTATTTGTATTATTTATCTAAGCAAGTCCACTAAAATTGGTTAAATGCAAATAAAGTGATTAAAAATTATAACTGTATGGTTCTTAAAAAATCAATTTCAAGCAATTGTATTTAAAATACTTTTATACTGCCTTGTAAAAGTTTTCTAGACAAATGCTCTATAACTGTGTGTATGTAGACACACACAAAACATATATACGAAAGAGCAGAAATAATTATTGCAGAAATTACATAGATTGCAAAAACATAAACCTATATACTAATTGGGAAAGGATTATGTACTATTCAAAAGTAAAATGATGTACTTTGCAAAATACACTTATAGAAAATCAACAAATATTCACTTAAAGAAAATCTTTACATTAGCCAATTTCTCACCAATACAAAACAACAAAGTAATATTGTCTAAGGTTATCAGTTCTTCGGAATCTGTGGCTTCCCCTGTATTGCCCAATTAAAAGTTGTGATAAACAAAACTGAATCAACATGCCTATAGTTGCTGGAAGCTTTACTATCACAGAATAACTCAAAATGCTTCTATTTTAAACATCAGCAGACAGACTAAGATTATAAAATATGTTACTGCCATATTACTCTCATCCTTTACTCATAACTATTGCATAGTAAGTAATTGCGCAATTAATTCATTCAATTTTCCCACAAAAAATATTGATCAAATAAAGATCATAAACTTTCAAAAATGTTTGTTCAAGACAGTTTTCCTTACTGCAGCCCCAAAAGACAGTGGGAGCTGGATCCAATCTTTGGAGATGTACTGAAATTAATGATATTGCTTAAGAGATGCCTAAACGTGCTTTGTTAACCAGATTACTTAATGAGAATGTAAGTAGCATCATCTCAACCTGCCCATATAGCTGTTCAATTTGTAGCTTATCTAAAGATGAGAATAGTATCTGAAACATTTTTAATAAGGGTGAACTAAACTTAAATTTAGTCCCTTGTTGATTCTAAAACTGAATCAGTTCAGTTAAGAGGTTTATACATCTTATTAACTACTGCAGTGATTTATTCGAGATATTCTGTCAATCAAAGTATTCTGATTTATAAACCATGGTATACAGCTTAAGGAAATATGCCATAGTTTTAACACATGAACCTACTGCCTTTGAAGTTGATGGCTATATGATCTAATTATTAAATAGTTAATGACTAACAAATTCATGTTATCAGATTCACAAAAAAATTTAAATGTTCTCATTAAGTCTATGCATATGTAAAGTATATTAAACTTTTAGCTTTCGATTAAGCAATCAACTCAATGCATAGTTGAAACTGAGAACAAACCATAACATTACATCTAACATCATGAATCTAAATATATTTGCTATGTCGTTTTTTTGCATGTACTGCAAATAGTTTGACACAACTTGGCAAAAATTAGTACAGTATGTATGGACTGATAATTTATTCACAATTATATGAAATATCACTGATTTTTTTGCATGAATTTTAGCAAAATATGTAGAATTCAAATTTTAGTTTGATCCAATGTTAATTGATCTGAGTACTTAATTCAAAACATAGTACAATTATACAGTATATGAAAACTATATATTTATAAACAGAAAGTTATGATAAAACTCTCTATTGCAATTCCAACACGATTTCAAATGTCTAACATTGGATAACAAAGATAAATCTTATTTTTACTTTGTGTTAATTTAATTTCTAATGTTAGAATTACAGATGTTTCTGTTGTTCAGAAAACCTTATGAACAAAAAAAGTCATTATAAACTTCAATTAAAACCTAACATTAAATAAATAAAATCACAGGTAAGAAAAGAATCTTATGATCAAGTAAGTAAACATACATATTGATTTCACAGAGTACACACTGCTCACTCAAGTTATGCCTGGGATGTTAATATGATACAGCTTTCTTTTACTTTGGTACACTAGCAAGTTATTTCTCTGGTGGTGTTTGCACAAGATGCTTTCCAGGGATTGCTAAATTGTTCCAACTGCTTATGCTCAAGCAATACAACCATTAACTAACCCTCACTTAGTTCACACAATACATTCAATTAAAACATGGTCGGTTGGTTTGTGGTCAGCTATGGTTCTATAACCTCAGCTTGTCTATTAAGTCACTCAAGAACTCGCCCTGTCCTTTAATTTTACCCAGCCACCCTAAATATGTTAACTTTGTAGCAATGACCTCCATTTATTGCAGCGTTATTTTCTTTCAACTAGGTAGAATCTGAGGGCTCTTTCCATTGTTAGACTGGTGCATGTATAGTTATTTTTCTCTCCTTCCCTACTCCCCACCCCCCAAACCTCGCAGCCCTTACTGCCCTGTTGCATCAACTTCCTGTACAAGCTCCTCGCTTTGGGATGATGGTGAGAATTCTTGGGTCTCTCACACCCCTTTCCCTCCTCCGGTATGTCAGCTTCCTGTGCAAAATCCCGTACGCCAGGCTAAAGATGCCTGTGTGTTGCCGCTGCCCTTGGTGTATCAACTTCCTGTGCAAAGCCCCTTGCATTGGGGCGATTCTTTTATTATTATTATTATTCCTGTCTTTGGTGCATCAACTTCCTGTACAGATTCTTTTGCAAATGGGTGAAGAGCACGTTTGAGAGGACACTACCAGCATGTTCGCTGCTGCTGTTGTTGTTCTTTTCCTATTGCCCTGGTGCATTCGCTTCCTGTGCAGAATCCTTTACATTGGGGCGGGGTGGGGGGGCGAGCGAGTGAGGATGCTCGGCTGCATTTCTCCACATTCCTTAGTGTATCCGCTTCCTGCGCAGAGCCACTTGCAATAGGGGGGAAAAAAAGATGCTCGCACTTCTGGTTTCCTCTTGCTGCTACTGCTGCTCCCGCCGCCTGCCCCAGTGCATGAGCCCTTCTTCGTTTCCTCCCTCCCTCCTCTGCCTGCCCCGGTGCGTGGTCTTTTCCTGCCACCGCTGCTACTGCTGCTCTGCGAGAGTTTGCTGCCCTACTTCACTCTACTTTAGTTTCACTCACTTTACATCCGGGTTTTTTCCCTAGGCAATGGGTGCCGCACCACAGCCCGTTCCTTAGGCAAAGGGAAATAAATTCGCTGCACCGACACGTCAAGTAGTCCCTCTGGAGAAGCCTTGAGGCGCCCCCTCCTCTCCCCGAGCAGGCCGGCCACCCCTCCTCCTTCATTCATAGGGAGATAAGGTGGGGAGGCCGGTTGAGGGGGGAGGCCTCCTCCTCCTCCGCTTTGGTCCCCAACCTCGGCTCCTTCTTCGCTTCGGAGAGCGGCCGAAGTAACCGCGTTTGTGTGCGAGAGAGTTGTGTCGGGGGCGCGCGGGCAGCGAGAGAGTCAGGAGCGCGCGCCGCTGGCAGGCCAGGCAAAAGCAAAGCAAAGCAAAACGGAGGCCGGTGGCGGAGGGATTCAGGCGTGCGGGTGCTGCGGCCGGGCCGGGTGAATGGGATTGAAGAAGAGTTCAGCTTCTCGGCTTGTTTTTGTGTCACAGTTTCTCTTCTTCTGCGCCTCTTCTGCTTCGTTCCTTTCTTCCTGCCTGTCCCCTCCTCCCCTCTGCAGGAGGAGCCCCCCTGGGAAAGGGGAAGGAAAAGGACCCCTCAGAGGAGAGAGAGAGAAGAGAAAAGCAAGAGGAGGAGGAGGAGGAGGAGGAGGGAGCAACCAACCAACCATCTTCCACTCCCAGCTTAGATTAAAGAAAGTGAGAGGAGGAGGAGAGAGAGGAGCCAAGAAGAGGGGGACAGGGAGGCCCAGAGGAGCAGCTGCACCGCCTTCTCCCTATGAAGAGGACTCCTTTCCCCTCAAAGAGAGGTCCTGCCAGGGGGACCCCAGCCAGACCACCTCGGCGGCAACATCACCACCACCAGCAGGGTGTAGTATCCCACCTTTTGGATATTCTCTCTCCTTCTCCCCTCTTTTCCCTTTCTTTCTCTCCCCCTCTCGGCCCCCGGTCCTCTGTTGCCTGCCTCGGGAGTTTCGGGGGGGAACAGAGAAAAGGGTGGATGGTGTGGGTGCGCGCTGGGAGGAGGGAGTCCACCATGGAAGACTCCGGAGCCAACTTGGAGATGAGGAGCCACAACTTCAGGGTAATCCCTCCTCTCCTCCCCCCCCACCCGGAGGTATAACGCCTAGGGATGCGGGAAGGGGGCATGTCCTTTCTCTGTCACCTGTGAGGATTGAAGTAAGTTTCTGTGAGAGGAGGAGGTGGTGGTGGTGGAGCGGGAGGGGTTAGGTGACACATTGGAGTGTGTGTGTCTGTGTGTGTGTGTGTGTGGGGGAGAAATGACACATTTGCAAAGAGAGGAAGGGAGAGGACGATTTCCCCCACTCCTCCCCAGGATGATCTTTTCTAGGCCGTTTTCTGTGGGGTTCATTTTCTTCCCTGATGCTGCCGCCGAGGAAGTTTTATTACCTTGAAGATGCTCTTGCTTTGATGATCCAGGCTTCGTAGTAAAGCTGCTGCGGCGGCGGTTTTTCCTCTCCTCCCTTCTTTTTTTTCCCCCCCTTTGCCTTTAATTTGTCTTGGTAGCCCGAGTAGTGCTGGGAAAATTCCGTTTCTTCAGCAACTTGTTATTCTGAAGTCTCTCTTGCCCCCCTCACCCTGGGGCAGCCCATTTTGCATGGATACAAAGCTCAGTGCAAGGACACCTTTGGGATTTCACACTCCTGCTCTGGCACGTTTGCAGTGACTAGAGATGTGTACCTTCTCCCTTTCTTTTCCTGCCATTTCTCTGTATTAGGTACAAAGAGTAGGGGTGTATGTGGGACTGCCATTTGGTCTGGTGGTTTTGTGCCTGTGTATCTTGTTACTTTTCTGTGTTTTTCTTTCTTTGTTATTCCGAGCTTACTACAGATGGGATTCTGTCCCTCCCCCACTTTACATGTCTGCAGTTCAGTTGTTAGTTTCAGGATTAAACAATTAATACTTTTTGTTGTGAATAAAAATGAATTAGATCAACACAATTAAACCAAGTGATAGAAAATGAGGTTTTATGACCAGTATGCATTTATTTGTGATGCTTTTGGGATACTGTAATGAAGAGGTTTGCTGGTGACAAAGATGTTCTGAAAGGTGTGAGGATGTCATTCCATTTAAATTGCAGATTATAAGTCACATTTATGTAGAGAATAAATTGTTAGTAAAATTAGTGAAAACAACTCCCAGATAAATGTGTTGTTGCCATTTACTGTGTGATGTTTGTAATAAACTTATCTAATCATTTGTACACTTTGTTGAATTAATAAATTAGTGAAATCTATGTTCTTGATTATGATTTAGAGATCTTTACTGTCGAGATTGGGTTTTACAGATGTATTTTCAGCAAGGATGTCTTAAAAAGTTAAGACTTTGTCATACAAAACAGTATAAATATGAGGTAGGATATTCTAAACATAATGATAAAGCTATGTGCTTTTCTACTGAATAATATTAGATTTGAAATTACAAAACTTAGGCATGCAAATCAGAGTAAATTATTATTATAGTACAGTATTCAGTAAAAGTGTAGTTCCAGCTAATTATTGTTGAAATACTATTATTCTGTAAGACTAAAGGGTAGCAGCAGCTTTAGGACAAGCGTTATTAACAATTTTCAAAATACATATATGATCCTGTAATATCATAGGCCATTATTTTGCCATACATACAAATTTCTATTGTATTTTTGGAATTTCATCCTTTTTTGAAATAAAAAGTTTGACACCATAAGGTTTTATAGAAAGAGAATAAAAGTTTTAGGAACTCTTTTTCATAGAACTGCTTGCATTTTATTTATCATTTCCTTTGGCAGAACTTGTCTGGTTTCAGTTTCTATTTCTTTTTTTCTTTTTTGCTTTCTAATAGCCTAAGTATAGTGACCACTACAATCTGTGTATATTAATGAATATTGAATGTTCTTTTCTTATGGAAAGTAAGGTGAAATGGGATTGAAAGTTTCATTTACCATGCTGGTATTTAAGGGGAAACTGAAGTTAGCTGTCATAAACAGTGATCTTGCTAAACATGGGAGGAACTTTGCAAATCTCTAACTTTGAATATATTTTAAACTATAGTTTTAAAAAATTCTTTTCACAAAATATTGTCTTCATAAATGGATACTAAGAATTTTAAACAAAAGCACCTTTTATTTTTACACATTCTAAGAATTTCCTCACAATTTTGAACTCTTACTTTGGATTTGAGTAATGTAAGTTGGTCAAAAACTTGGGAAAGTATCTTTAAAATAATAATAAAAATACATTGTAGAAGCATAATTTTTCTTAAATGATAAATTCAGGTTTAACTTAAGATCTCTTCTACAATAGTGGCTATAATCTAGAGAAATGAAAATAGTACATTGTTATGCTTCTTTTAAAAATGGACCATTTGCAGGGGAGGGGGTTTGCAAGTTTTGTTCTTTTGATTTGTATAACAACTGCCAAGAATTTAGGCTACTGGTCTAAGTTTGGGTATTTAGGGGAAAATAAGGGGCAAAAGCTATCTTGACATTTCTCTGATATGCAGCATTGAAGATTTACTTTTTAAGCAGAAGTGCATCTTGAATTGGAGTATGTTCTGTTTGACTACTTACATTTGATGGTCTTCAAAACTGATAAAATTGTTTACTTCCTTAAGGTTGTACTTCTATATAAACCTTGGTTGGTCTTTTGAATAGACATGTTTTAAATGCAGGGAAACTGAGGCAGACTTTCTTCTGCTTTTTTGTTTATATTCTTTCAAATTAAATACAATGAATTATTACATTTTATTACAGGGTGCAGAACACAATGCTTTTGCACTGCAAATAAAAATGTATGTGATACTTGGTATCAATATTGGGGCATGTTTTCAAGATCAGCTTCCTCTAGACTGGTTAGACCTAACTCCCACTGGTCATGCCCCCTGGGGTATTAAGGCTGTTGAACTCCAACAAATTTGGAGCATCAGTTAAGTGAGCCAGATCTAGTTTATATTTGAGACAATAACTAAGCATGGAATCAGCTTTGTTTTCTCTTTCAGTGTGTTATTAAAACAAGTTATTTTGACATTAAAACACTTAACATTTTTGGTACTTCATAAATGTTCACTAATGGGCCTCAATATTTATTTCTTGTAAAAACAAAAGTTCTTAAATTTCAGTAATTTTAATGTAGGCCATCTCTTAAACTTATTTTAATTTTAGTGGGATCAGATCTAATTGCATGCTTAAAAATTAATTGAAATGATGCAACTTGAATATAAGTTTGGGTGGAGTTCTTTCTTTTTTAAACTTATTTCTATATGGAAAAGTTTCATTGCATTTTTGGATCATATATTTCTTATACTGTAGTATTAATAACATAATACTAAAGCAAAGTTTTACTATTTCATTTCACATTTATATGGAGGAAACAATTTCCTAAGAACTAGCACCCTAATTGTAAAGCACCTATAGAGAATTTAAATTGGGGTGAATTTGTTCAGTATTTTTGGAATAGATTCCGCACTAAAATTTATTGTGAACTTAATTATTCAGGGTATTAATTTGCACAGTTTATTCCATTCCATATTAATCCTAATTAAAAATTATTAAACTTTGTACTTAACTAGAAGTCTGCTGAAATCAGTGTGAATAATTTCTGAGTAAACATGTATGGAATTGTAATATTGAAGTTGAAACTCATATAGTTAAAGACACATGTTTTCATTCTTTTCGCTTTTAATGAATAATACAAGTCGGCAAACTTCCATGTTAAATCAACAATGTGATTTATAATCTTTGTGATATCTGAGATAACTTAATAATAATAATAATAAGGCAGGTTGTTCCACTGGTTAATAGAGAAGCAGTAGTTAAGTCTTGGTTTGATCAGAATATTTTAACATTTGGACATTTAAATTCATGGTGCTGTTATAAAAATACAGCTGACTGTAATGTTATAATGGCCCTACATTGCTGTTTTACATGGTTCCTTGTAAATTTTGGATATGAATCAATTCTTTCTAACCTTGTAGAAGCCTTTTGAATAGTCTTTTTAAAGAATGTATGGTGCAAAGAGAGATCACCGTTTCTTCAGTAGTTCAAGTTTCACATTTTACATACAGTTGTTGAAGTTCAGAACTTGGACTAATATGATCTGACATAAATTGATAATTTAAAGGATTAAAGTATTTTGGAGTAAAGATTTTTATTTATTTACATAATGCTGTTTATGTTCCCTACTTTTGTAGACTGTAGGTGGTAGCCATCATAGCATTAATTCTACAGAAAAGCCATGTTTTGAGAGATTTT